GGATTGGCAAAGGACATGCCTTGGATGCCAGTGCATCCGGGAACCTTAGTGGTCAGGGTGGGCGTGAGCGTGTCGCAACCACCAAGCCAGTTCAGTGTACGGGTCCGTCACCTCGAATTTCCTCCCAGAGGCCAGGTGCTGGGACCCCATTCTGGGTCAACTTCTCAGAAACCCGAGTTAACTCCTTAGATCTCCCTACTCGGCCGGGCCATAGTCCTGTCTTGGAGCTGCATCTTTCCCAGCTCGGCCGCCGGCCCCGCCCCCAGCCACCGGTTCCGCCCCCAGCCGTCGGCACCGCCCACAGCCGCCGTCCCCGTCCTGAGGCCCCGCCTCCCTCCTTTCCCGTCCCAGGGCGCGTTGCGCGGTCCGAGCCGGAAGTCAGCTAGTTCCTGGGTGTGTGTCTGTCTGGAAGCGGCGCGCGGCCGGGACGAGCTCTGGGAATTCCCGTCCGAGCCGCCACCACTGTCACTGTCACCACCACACGGAGCCACTTCTACAGGGGAGTAGACCCGGCCCTTACGCCGGGCAGAGACGATGTTACCCCTGTCCATCAAGGATGATGAATACAAACCATCCAAGTTCAATCTGTTCGGCAAGATCTCGGGCTGGTTTAGGTGCGGGGTGCGGTGTTTGCGGGAAGGGGGTGTCGGGCAGTGGGGAAGAAGGCCCAGGCTGAAGGGTGGCGCGAGGTTAGGGAGGGGGCATCAAGGACCACTCCCCACTCTCCCCCTGCGAGGGGAAGGGAGCTATGGTTTGGGGAAATGGAAAAGAGGTCGTGGCTTCTCTGACTGTCCCGGATCTTCATCACTTATGTCATGCCCAGGTCTATCCTGTCGGACAAGACGTCTCGGAACCTGTTTTTCTTCCTGTGCCTGAATCTCTCTTTCGCTTTTGTGGAACTGCTCTACGGCATCTGGAGCAACTGGTAAGGCAAAGGGAAAATGTTTGGGGCGGAAGCGGAGCTGGGGGAACGAAGCACGGCTTGCTTAGTGCCACGTAGCACCTTTTCAGGAGCCTGTGAAGATCATACCTGTGCTAACACTTCTGCTGCTGAATCGCTGTCACCACAGCAGTCTGGCAGGGCTACATCCCTTAAGATCTGGGCCAATTGTACAGTAGCCCCTGTCAGATAAGAGTGACAGGCGTGCCTCACCATTTGTCAGTCTCATCTCAAACCTTGCATGCCTTAGCTTTGCCCACTTGAAATTGGGAGAAACTTGCCCTTGCCCCACCTTTTGTAAACGTGAGGGAGTGGCATCTGGAGCTGACCTTTGAGATTCTTCAAGTTAATAGCTGAAGGTTTTTTTTCCCTTTTGGTCTTAATATGCCGTTAGGTCTTAAAATGGGGAAGGTGTTTCTAAAAGGATGTCTTGTGAAGTGTGTGTGACTCACTACTCTCTTTAGTGTTGAAACTGCCCCATGATCTTAACTCTGGCGTTGACTGTAATAGAACATTCCATGTGGCTTTCTAGCAGCTTACATCTTTTGAGTTGATGGTGCTTGGTGTCAGCTTTGGAACTTTTTTGAAAGCGCTCTGGGAAGAGGTAAATCAAGTGTGTATCTTGTATCTTTATGAAAATGAAGTACCATTATTTAAGTATCTGCTATTGAATAACTTCAGGTATACGAGATTGTTCAACTAATAGATTCACACAGCCCTGCCTTGGTGTACTGGTTTGTCTTTCCGGTTTAAGGATCTGATAAAAACCTCAGGGATTCCCCAAAATAGGTTTCTGACCTCAACTGTGTTTCGCTTATTTTCTATTGATTAGATTCAGCCTCTGTCCTTTACGGTATGTGTTTCAGAGAGAATTGCCATGCTGCATCTTTAGCTCTAATGAGATTGAACAGTAATTAGATAATAGCATGAGTTTTTGTTAATATATATTTTCATATGAAATTCAGTCTTATTCACCTGTGAATTCAATTTTTAAAAACCCACTGTCAACAGATTATGGGGGCTGTTGGTCTAGTTTTGTATGGGTGTAAAAGACACTTAAAAACTGTAAACCTCCTTGTGAGATCTTAATCTTAAGGAGCTTCCACAAGTTCATGGAGTAATGGAATTAAAAGACAATGGAATTTTCCCATGAACTTTTGGAAGCCCCTCTTACATGACTTAAATATTTTGAGTCCCTAGGAAATCAGATGTGTATATCTGAAGGATACTCCATTATAGGTTATTTTTTAATCATGTAAGGTTAATACCCTTCCATCTATCTTACATGTTAAAAACAATACCTGTAATTTTTTACCTCCAAAATTATGCCATAATTTCAGACACCATTAGAAGGAGCCATGGCTGCACTGTCTGAGAAGTGTTGGGCTGGTAACCACCAGGACAGATCTTCAGCTCATCAGCTGCTCCTTTGGAGAAAGATGTGGCTGTAGACTCTCATAAAGATTTACGGCCCCAGAAATCATATATAGGGTCGCTATAAAATGGAATCAACTCAATTGTAGTAGGGGGAAGAGGGGCTACTGATCTTGGCTTGTAGTTGCACGTTTTGCTGCAATTACTTGATATTGCAATACCTGTTTCATTGTGGCCTTCCACTGCATAAATAACCCTGTGAAATCTATTCAAGGGATTCATGTTTCAAATGCCAAATGACCTTTTTCATGGAAAGTTAGCTGTATACTTTCTAGTTCATTGCATAGTATTTAGAGTTTTATTAAACATTTGGGGCCTTCCAAGATGAGGTAATTGGTTATTATTTGGCTGTGATAACAGGTATGTACTCCACTGATAGCTTGGCAGATTTAGAAATAGCCTGGACAAGTTTCTTTAGTAAACTTCTCCCCCAAACCAATTCTTTACAGCCATTTCTGTGTTAATTTGTATTGTGTAAAAATTAAGTTCCAAGATACGAAAAACCAGAAAGGTCCATTTTTCCCCACTATGAGATTAAAAATGGATTAAACACCTTTAAGTAGCTGATTTAGTTGTAACATGAAAGTCCTTCGGAGCCATAATTTTAAAGGAAGAGCTTTATTTTAATTCTATATTTGAGAGAAAGAATGCACTATCAGAGGACAAACAGCTAAGCAATTTATGTATTTGCCTCCTGTGAAATAGCCGCTACGTTTTACCTTTCCATTGGAATGTAAGCTCTGTTGAAGTTTCAATCTTAGCACCCAGTACATAGTAGAAATCCAAACACATGTCATTAAGTCTCCTCCAACTCATAACGACCCTATAGGGCAGAGCATAGTTGCCTCACAGTTGTTTCCAAGGCTGTAACCTTTACCGAAGCAGACAGCTGCACTTTTCATTAGAAGAGCACCTGGTGGGTTTGGACTGGTGGCCTTTCAGTTAGTGGCCCAGTGCTTGACCACTGTACTATCTGGGCTTCTACATCGCCCATAGTAGGTGCTTGATGCATATTTTGTTGAATAAAAGATTGAAGAAATAATGTATGCATTAAATTCATCTTATATTAAACATGAGCTACCTGTATTAAACTTGCTTGTGGAAAGCAAGGAGGACTCGAAGGACTTATTGGTGAAAATTAATAAAAGTAGCCTTCACAGACCTGAAACTAAGAAATCTCCTATCTTCACACGTGTACCAGTTGGCCTCATTGTGGTAAACAGAGAAGAGATTGAAGTTCTTAAGCATGTCTTTTATGTTTGGATCCACAATCAATGCTCATGGAAGCAACAATCAAGAAATCAAACAACATACTGCATTTGGCAAATATGCTGCACAGGACCCTTTTAAAGTGCTGTAAAGCAAGGACACCACTTTTAAGGTGAACTGCTCTTGACCCAAGCCAGGGTAGTTCCAGTCACTTTATATGCATGTGAAAGTTGGACAGTGGGTCAAGAATATTTCAGGAGAATTATACATTTGTATTAATGGTATTGGCAAAGAATATTGAAAATGCTGGACCCTGATGGCATAGTGGTTACACGTGGGGCTGCCAACTGTAAAGTCAGCAGTTCGAAACCACCAGCTGCTCAGCAGGAGAAAGATGAGGCTTTCTCTTCTCATAAAGAGTGACAGTCTTGGAAACTTCAGGGGTAGTTCTACGCTGTTCCACAGGGTCGCTATTAGTTGGAATTGACTAGATGGCAGTCAGTTTAGTTGTTTCTTGTTTGTTCTGGTAGAATGCCAGAAGAACAAATAAATCTGTCTTGGAGTAAATACAATCAGAATGTTCCTTACAAGGGATGATGGAGAGAGCATTTGTTTCACGTATTATGGACATGTTATCAGGAGAGATTGACCCCAGAAGATAAAGTAGAAAGTCAGAAGAGCAGACCGTCCAGGAGATGCCTAGTGGATTTACAGTGGGCTCAGCAGCAGAGTTGTGGGGATGGCACAGTACTGGGCAGTGTTTTGTTGTCCCTAGGCCCCGATGAGATAGGACCAACTCTACAGAACCTAGCGACAACAGTATGCTCAACATACTGACTTCCTGTTGGGCCTAAAGACCATTTAGCTACTCCGTTCATTCTTAGGAGTTAGAACAGAAATGGTTGGAATACTCTATGTGGTATTTTCTTCTAGAGTGCTGAGATCTCGCACACACTAATCTGCCATTGAGTTAATTCTGACACATAACATGGCGCTTCTAGCCTATGCCAAACTTTTCCCTGGTCCCCAACCTCTCATCCACAAAGTTCCTTGGGTTTAACCTCTGCCTCGGCTGGGAATGGCCCACTGCTCTGCCTCACAGTCTCAGAGCCTTGGCACTGCTCATCTATTCTGTCCCACGGTCTCCGTGACTCAACCTCGATGCCACTAGTCTCAGCCTCTGCCACTTCAAACAGATTGTTAGTAGGTTCCGCTGGCAACCTCCTTTTGATGGTCCTGGGGTTTCTGTGTGTTTCTGAGATGGCTGTTAAACATAGAGCATGGCTTTCTTGGAGGAGTGGTTTTTGTCTTTAATCACACCCTACCCCCAAGGAAACAAGGGTCATGCCTTGGTTAACACCCTCTACTAGAGTAGGTTCACACCCTACTACTCTACTTAATCCAGCCTATTAACATAGCAGAGAATCCCCTCCAAAATGGGATTTCAGCCACAGACAGAGATTAGAAGGAACTATAGCTAGAATAGCCATATTAACTGACTACATCTCAGGGGCACACTCCATTCATATGATCGCTCATTTTATAGGCCTGTCTGTTTGAAATAGGATTCCCCAGGGGTGGGTTTAGTTCTAGATTTGAAGGGTAACTAAGGACCACAGCCTCAGGGCTCCATCATTCTCTATCAAAACAGTAAGCCTTTTTTTTTTTCCAATTAAATTTTTTTCTACATTATTCACTCGTCCTTTGCAAGATCATCTGTGGCCTGATCAGAATAGTTGGTAGTGTAACTGGGCACCATCAACTTGTTCTTTTCTCTTGAGTAGTGGAGGCTATGGTTTGCCTGGTCTATGTATCCCATGGACTGTTTCCTTGTGTATTAGATTTTCTTCTTTACAGCAGACTGATATATGCTTAGATGGCTGCTTATAAGCTTTTAAAGCCGTCATGACTCACTACCATGTAGAGCATTGTGAACTATTCTGTGCCAATTAAACTAGATGACCCGTGTGGTCCTAAGACCCCAAGCTCAGTGACTCATTTCCTTGAGGTGTTTGCTTATGGCTAATAAGTTATAGTTTGTCCCCTCTATGCTCCATCTATCCATGGATATGTTTGCAGTACATATAAATATATACTGTAGAAATAATACTCCAAAAACCGATACATGCTTGTGGGTATTGTCCCATGTACCTCCCCGTATCTCTTCAGCGTGTATGCCTGTCTGTTATTGCAGAATTGTGTACATGAGTATTTACTTTGATTGTCTGTTAACTGTTGTTCATACAGATTGAATAAGTATGGTGAGAGGATAGAACCATGACATTCACCGTTCCTGACTTTAAACCATGCAGTACTCCCTTGTTCTGTTTGCACAATGAAAT